AAGCTAATCCTTTTAGGAGGTGGTCGGGTCTTGAGGCGCTAACTTAATTTGCTTGCAGCATAATTGCAGCAGCAGGAGTAGCAGCAGCAGCAGCAGCAGGAGCAGCAACAGCAACTGACTGAGTTGTTAGTCAAAGTTTTGTACGTCTAATTGTAGGCGTCATTATTTGACTTGGCTAAGGGCTTGCCAAGCTTGCCAAGCTTTCCAAGGGTCCCAGCAGAGTTCAACGCACCGCACCGCAGCCATCCATTCGTCCATCTATCCATCTCTCTTCTCTTGATATCTGTGGCAAACAATTACTATAATTATAATTTAAATTAAAGCTCATCTAGTCGTGTCGCTTTGGCTTTAACGTTTCATTTAATATTTAGCCGAAATGTAGTCGAGCCCATAAATCAATGCCAAACAACCGGCTTGAGCTGGGGGCGTGTGAGTGTTGTACACCCATATGAATACTCAAGTGTCTCGACGCAACAAATGGGACAAATTTCCATTTCTATCCAATGCTGCATAAATGGCACATAATTTACGATACCGTTATGTGGCAGCAGCGCAGCAGCGGGGCTGAGCTGCTCAGCTAACCAAACATGCAGCAAACCCGTCCAAAATGCTGCTAACAATATTAGTTAGCGTGTGGCAGCAGCAGCAACAACAACACCAACAACGACAACAAGTGCTCCGACCAAAGTTTACATTTATGTGTGTGTGTTTGAGTGTGTGGGAGTGTGTGTACGGCCGGCGTCAATGTGTGAAGTAATTAATTACAAAGCAACTGATGTGAATCTCTGTGTGTGTGCGTGTGTGAGTGTGTGTGTGTGTGTGTGTACGTCTGCCTGTTTGTGCGCCTGTGTGTGTGCTGTAAGTTTTCGTGTGCTTGCGTATTGGATTATGATGCATGATCATGTATATGTTGCGCATTGTCACACGCACACTTGCCCACAGCACGCACACACTGGGGACTGTAGCGTTATCTAGGCTTAGGTATAGATGTAAGCTGTAACCGAAATGGGATTGATTTACACATCAGGTGAGAAATGAACGCGTCGCAGAGCCCAGATGCATTTCATTAATTACCAGCTTGAGGCGGAGTATTTTTTAATCATTTTCCGGGTTCCCCTCTCCCTCTCTCACTCACACGCTCTGACAAAACTGAAGGCTTTCCGCATTTTATATTATATTGCTTGCAGATTGCCTTACTTATATTTTTTCCCTCTCATCAAATCTCTATTTGCACAGCTTTAGCGATTTGCTTTAACTGTAGCTAGAGCTGAGTAGCTGAAAAGCTGCTTTAAAGTAAAGCCTCTCTTACTTCTCTCTCTTTAGTACTTTTGTAGTCCCTCTCACTGTGTCTGTCTCATGTGAAAAACATTTCAAGTTTTTCAAAGTGGGAAACTTAAAGCTTGAAAGCGGCTTTAAGTATAAGCTAGCAAAGCGAATGTGCGACAAAAGTAAAGGGATTTCGGCAAAGATTATAAAGCATATACGTTCTTGAGCAATATCAAACAAATACAGCAAAAAGCTCACCAGATCTAGAAATTATAAATTTTTTGCTGACATAGAAAGAACTTGGCCTGGTAAACAAACCCATTTTTATTAACAATAGCTGGTCTACCTGCTGTTGTTTTTATGTTCGTAAGCTATATCCGTGAGCCATATCTGAGAGATAAAAGTGCAGTTAAGTAATACCAGGACATATATTCTCTAACTAAGACAGCAACTACAGTAATCGTTGTCATTAATCAAAAGTAAAATAAACATTTAAATTTACTATCTTATCACTTATTTATAGTTGAGGGGCTCTTAGAGGTATTTCTCATTTGTGTGCATGAATCTCGTAGCTCACATCAATGAGAATCTCTTTTGGTACTTGAAAAGTATTTCTCATGTAAAAGTTGGCAAGAAAAATAAACGGATGTGTAAATAATAAGTTGATATAATGTAATCGCATTATGCTTAAATCAATTCCATTATATCAATGGAGAACACAGCACAGTCTGGGGCACACAAATATATCTCATTAGCACGACAACTGTGGGTGTTGTCTTTTTCGAGTGCTAATTATATTCATCAGTGTCATGAGCAATTCGATTTAAAATGGCGGCTGTGGGTTTGAAAGATATTTATGAAAGCCACACACGTGATATACGCACAAACACACACACCAGCACACACCAGCACACCCACGCACATACATGCACATCAGCTCGGCTTGAAAAAATAAATAAAAAGTCGTCACGGCTGCGTATCGCTGCGTGCGGGTCTCTTGGCAGCGGGCAGCGAATAGCTGCGGGCGTCTGCACCGTGTGTGTGTATGTGTATGTGTGCGAGGCACATTTAAATTAATCACAGTAAAAGTGAATTGCCCAAAACAATGTAATATCCCGTTCAAGGGCCGCTGGGTGCTGTGCGGGGCAAACAAACAAAAATCTGTAAATGCCAGCAAAACCCCAAGCCCCAGAGCCTAGGCCTGAGTCCGTGACGAGACCAAAACACAACTGTCACTGTATGTGTGTTAGTTCATGCATGCTAGCCGTATGCGTGCGTGTGTGTGTGTGTGTGCGTGTGTGTGCGTGTGTGTGCGTGTGTGTGCGTGCGGTTGCTCAAATTAAAACAAAGTGTCGTGCGTTTGATGAAAATGTAACGCGCTTTGGTGCTGCCAATGCCAATGCGAGCGTCGCAGTCGGCGTCGCACATAAATGCTAATTGGCTTAAATGTGCGTGTGCACATGTGTGTGTGCGTATGGGCGTGTGCGGCTCGTCCCTTGGGTAAGCTTTTTATATAAGCGCCGCCGCCGGCGACTGCGGCTGCCTTCACATTTTCAGGTGTTCAAACTAAAACATTTTATAGTTTGGTTAATTGTCAAAGCTGTGCGGCAGCCAAAAAATACCAACCAAAAAGACGGCTGAGCGGGCATGCGGCAGACCGGGGTTGCCCCAAACCTTTTATGACTTAATTATTCGTTGGTTTCTGTGGCAGCCTGCGTGGTTATTGAGTACATGGAACAGCATGAAACTGATACAAAGAAGCGGACAGACAGACAGAAAGGGCGGCCGAACTAGCTAGTGTTGAGAGCGTGTTGGGCTTGCTTTGCGTGACACGAGATGAGGCATTAGATACACGAAATATTGCATAGACTGACTGAGTTATATAGAGGTGAGATTTAGGCATATATATAATGGTATTGATCTAGGTAAACTTTCGTTTGAATTGAAATATAAAATGTTCAATAAGAATGTTTTAAAATTTGGAATAAATTCAAAGAAAAAATTAAAATATAAATTTAAAATGATTACGAGATGCTATAATTTTAAGCTTTTATACATATATGATCAAAACAATCTAGCCCATATTTGATTAATAGATTCATCAATAATTTGATTAGGATTCGAATTTTATGCTCAATTATAGCTTTCAAACACAATCAAACAACAAGCGCTGAATAAATTATCTAACTCAATCACTTCGAAAATAACACACATACATATGANATATAAAAGAAAAGCAAATAAGTGAAAATATTTAACAAAGAAATTAGTAAATAATTTTAAATTACTAAAAGAAATTGACATTTGTTTTAAATACATAAATTAGTTTTAGAATTTGAGTTTGATTTGAGTTTAATTTAAATAGCTCGATTTCCAATCCAAATGTTGATTGTAGATTGTAAATACTATATTACTTTAAAGATGTTTCATTTATTTACTCACATATAATAAGAATCATAAGCAATAATAATAATTTTAATTTTTTTTTTTTTTTTATATGTAAAATTAAATTTCAGAAGTAAAATTACAGGTAATTTCAAAAATATATAAATAATTGAAAATAGCATTTATTTTGTGTACATTTAAGTATTTTACAAATTATTTATATACTACTCTGATCAAGATTGTCCATCGTCTCGCTTAAACTCTCATATAAGAAAATACTCAGCACGAGGCCAGCTCCATGCAGAACTATGAGAGTCGACGGCAAGTGGCATAAAAAGAACTGAGCGAAAGTGCACATAAAACAGCGCAAGAAGCGTAAAAATTGTTTTGTTCGAACGGGAAGCGAAAAGGACGGAGGGTGGAGAATGGGAGATGGAGGGGTTACTACCACTGCCACACACCCTGGTAGCTTGGGTTGTTTAGTAAAAATTGAAAACAAGTGAAATAAAGTGATTCGGCGCTGGAGATTTTGTGCGTACGCGTGCGTTTTCTATTCAGCGTTGAGCGTGGAGAGAGTCTTTGGCCTTTTGTGTGGCTGCAATTCGATGGATTCTTTTATGTTTATTTGCCTTCACTCCATTACGACTTGATGCTCTTTAGTAGACAATCAACATTGTTGCTGTTGTTGTAGTTGTTGTAGTTGCTGTTGTGGCTGTTATTGTGGTGCCTTCTTCATCTTGGCATTCTTGGCAGTGGAGGGAGTTGTTGCCCGTGCAAAAAATGCAAATTACGAGCGAAATGACTGAATGAATGATTGTCATGGCGAGCTGTGAGGGCTTTTTGTTCTTGGGAATTTTCAAACGTTCGCTGATAAATAGCGAACGCTTGGCCAGGCTTACGGCTAAACCCGCGCCATATATGCCATAATTTATGCAAATTAATTTATATAAAAAAAAAAAAAAACAGCAAATAAAGTTAGCGCATGGCATTGCCATTGCCATAGACATATTTCACGCAAGTGCGACAATTTTTGCGCTTATGTACAGTGGGAAGTACATAAATATAGTGCGCCTTAAAGTAGACTCATTTATATGGCTTTATGCGCAATTTCAGGCGCTGACATTTATGATGTATTGTTATATATGACTTGACATACGCGCACACATATATACGTATATATCTACGTATATACATATTTATGCATGTCATATGTATGTGTGTACTTGTGTGTGAGTGTGTGTAGCCATAGCAACTGACAGACATCTGACGAATGGCTCACTGACTACTTGGCCGACTAACTTGGCCGCTGGGCACAGACATTTTTGTGTGATATTACGTGTTTCGTCAAATTTAGTTAAATGCGTCTAGTCAGTAGTCACCAGTAGGCGGCATCTTAAATTAAAAAACAAAATTGAAAAAAAATGGTCACCATATATCTGGGTTCATTTTCATTTCCAACGAATCTCGCCAGTGAGAAGCTATAACGCATTCTAACAAAAATATATAAATTACAACAAAATAAATTCAAAATGCCTGAGCAGCCAAAAAAGTCGAATGCGAAGCCAGCACCAGTGAGCAAGACCAGCAAGGATACCAAAGATACAAAGCCGAAGCCAGCGCCGCCAGTCGTACGTAATCCGCAGCACAACACACACGATCGGGTAAGAATATATAGCAGAATATATAGCACATATCATAAATTGAGGCCAACGGAAATTTCCTTGTAGATATGGAAGATCATGAAAATGTGACTCAGACATCATAGAGCAGCATACGGCGTATATCATTTTACGAACTGGAACGAAATCTCTTGATATGTTCAAATCTATTTTCACACAACTGGATTTTTAAGATATTAAATATGAATTGCCGTTAGAAACTGTGTGTCCTTCAAAGCGCTGAATAAAGCGCAAATGTCCCAAAGTACTCTTATATTACCCATCAGTTCACTGGAAGGCCCACGCAGCGCATGCGCCTGCCTCAAAGAGAATTGTGTTTTCTTGGGAAATTCTCTCTTTGATAGCAGCGCCTTGCTAGGCATAGAGTGTGTTATGATTGTAGCCCGAGCTTAGTTTAACAAATGCTTACTAAACTTATATCACGAGGCATCATAATTAGGCTTTAGTCTGAGTGCAAAGCAAAGGGAACATAATTTGCTTTGCGTCTAATTTGTTCAAATGCTAACAAGCACTTGAGCTAGCTGCTGTCTCTAATGCGTTAGTCAAGCTATGTAAAACACAAAGTAGCAAAGCACTTGAACTATTTATTTGTATTTGCATTTACATTTGCATTCGCATAGACTCAAGTACTGTAAGAATCCCGAGCTAAAAAAAAAAAAAGAAGAAAAATGAAGGCAAACAAACAGCCAAGCAGAGCTAAAATAAAAGTGCTTGGGATAGGCCCACTTCTGGGCGCCTCAAGCATCATCAAGTCAATGCAATTTAAACCAAAACAAACTCAAATGCCGAGCCACAGGCCGCAAGCCGTCTGACGAGCGCTGTGCCGTGTGCGTCCCAAAAAAATTTTACTTTCATTCGGGAAAATTGAGTGAAAACGATGGTCGTGCGGCCGAGCCGAGCCGAAACGCAAATATCCCCGTCGCAGGCCAACGCGAGCTGCAAGGATATTTTGTGGCTCGTGCCAGTTTTTGCCATTGGCACTGCTCAGTTTCGTATTCGTGTCGGAACGTGGCGCTACATACCGTGCTCAAGGATACGCGGCGAACAAGACCAGGAGTCAAACGATAGTTCAACCGCAATAAGGGCACAACCCGATTTGACTGTTCGACGAGATCAGAGTGTGTTGGTGTGCGCGTGTGTTTACTGTGTGTCCGTGTGCGTGTGCGAGTGTCTGTGGGTGTGTGCGATTCGTTACATTTTATTAGCGTGTGCACGAAATACAATAAATGAAAAATTAATTATTTATTTCAATTTCACAGTTATGCATAAACTGCGCTGTCGTTGCTTTTAACGCTGATTGAAATGTACCACTTGCTTCGTCGCGTTTATATATCTTATTTCTTGTTGAATTCTGTTTTTATACTCATTGAGACCATCAGCCAGAAGCTGTGGCAGCAATACCAAAATCAACTACACGAACTACTGCAGCAGCTAAAGGAAATGCAGCACGGGCATACAGCCTTTGGCTCGACCCGGCTTAGCGGTTAACTGAGTCCTTGCTGCGGCCGTGCGTGCGTATGACTTTATTAAAATTGTTAATTCACAACGTCGCCAACAACAACAGCAACAACAACAACAACAACAACAAAATAAGTATAGTAAAGCGCGCGTGTTCAGTTCGCAGGCATTTTACACGTTGTTTGTAGACTGTTCTTACTTTCACTTGCCATAAATATCACATACGTCGTGTTCAATGTGTTTTTTCTTATCGCGAAAAGTATATATATATATTAATATACATATACATATATTTAAGTATATACGTATATAATTATGTGTGTGCCCGGCATTTGGTAAATCCTAGCTTAACGCACATGTCCATTTCGCAACGCAAAATTAATAACGCGCATACGTCGCGTTGGCCCAGCTCGCGGTAATTGTCAATGTTAATCGAGCGGCTCAGCTTGCATTTAAATCACTTCTTAATGTAGTGCACATGTAAGTTGCATAATTTTTCATCATTTTTCCACACTAATACTCCAGAGTACTTTGACTTTAACAATGGCTAGGGAATTCGAGTCATATTGACACAAGATGCAACGGCAGGATTAAAGTGTATTTGCGAAATTTTATAGAATTTATGATTTCACAATTTAAAGGAAGAATTCTGCTTAATTTATAATTAGGTACAGCAAATCCCTAATTTAAGTCCAAAGTATAACAAAATTACTCAAATTATATATTTTATCATATAAATATAAATACAATTTTCTGTTTTGTTTTTAATAATTTAGTATAAATCATTTCCATCTGAAATTTGTTTCCCTATTGTCATTACGTTATGCGATAACATGAATTTTTTATTTTTATTTTTTTTATTATTCTGAGCAAAGTATAGAACAAGATTTCACTTTATGTCTTAATAGCAATTGCGTTTAAAAAATATAGAAATAGACTTATCATAGTTTTCCAATTTTGTACACCCTTTTAGTCTATAGCAGTCCCAACTTTAGCTGTCAGTCTCCAAATTCATATATCAATTTCAAGCATATTTCAAGTTCGGCTTCAACGCATTATTTATTTTTAATTGTTATCTTTTTCAACTGTGCGCGTTAATCATTTAATTGCATGCGCTTAAATTCTGTTATCGTACAATTATTTAACTTGCCTGTAAATCGAGCAACGTGTCCCGCCCACAGACTCGCCCACACCCACAGCCCGAGTCGAATTGTCTGTACGAGAAATCGTGTAAAATTTTCAAATTTAAAATAAATAAATTAATGCAAAAAGCTTTACTTATTTGCTAATCGAAGGGTTGTGCAAGTCATGAAATATTAAATGCAAATAAATAAATATATATACATATATATAGGTAACCTGCATGCACTCAAAAGGCATGCACCATTAAGCAAGTATGACTCGCAGAATTTATAGTATTTTTAGTTGAAAATGAAAAATGTTATGGAAGCTGTGCAGGCACTGAAGATACACATGAGGTAAAATCAGTTAGCTGTCGGTGCATGCATAAAAGGCTCCTGCAACGGCTCCTGCAGCAACAACAAGTCAAAGCATTTGCCGAAAAACCCAAAGGTAAACTCTGTCAAACAGACAGACAGACAGACAGACAGACCCACAGGCAGACGGACGTAGCGACGGACAGCAAGGCAGGCAGACAGTTGGACTTGAACATGGAGCTCAGATAGGAGCCAACTGGCTTATTTATAAGAGCCAGAACGTAAGCACTTTGCCCACAGACTGAGCCGGGGCCAGGAAGAGCGCAATGGCATGAGCTGCTATTCAGTATTTGGTAGGTGAGGTGGCTGAGCTCTCCTATTCACCTTTTGAGTTAGCTGGCACGTTTTATAATATTTATGCATGCGCCTGCCAACTGGACCAGCACTCATGAGCTGCTGGCTAAGAGGAGGCTTGAAAAAATGCAGCAGCAGCAGCAGCTGCAAGTGTGTGTGTGTGTGTGTGTGAGTGTCTGCTTGCCTTGTATATTGCCCAAAAGTAACACTCCACGTTCAAGTGGGGCATTTTCGGGGGCTCTACATATTCTAGTGGCAAGTTAGTAGGCTGCATACAAAAATTACATTTAAAACTATTTTGCTTGGCATGCAACTGGATAAATACGGTAGGCAGGCTAAGCAAACATGAAAACCAGATGAAAAGCTGGCTGTCTGGCTGGCTGGTTGGCTGGTTGGCTGGCTGGCTGCCTGTCGCAGGCAGCGGGAATAGCAACAGATGCCACAACAAATGCCATTTAAATGGATGAGCCAACAACAAGAGCAACATCAAGTATAACAACAAGTTGTGCACAAACAAGTGCAGGACACAGCACACAGGACACGCATGAAAATGAAATCGCTCAGCCATGATATGAGATAGAATAAAATGTAAATGCCATACACATACCCATGTTTTCTGCCTCTGTTTGTATAAGCACAAACACCCACACAACAACAACAACAACAAAAACTACAGCAAACAAAAACCAAAAAACAAAAACAGAAAAATGAGTGAAAAGAGCAAAGACACAGCCAGTTTACATGCTTTCATGCAGCTCAACATTTTTGACAGTGTATCAAGCCGCTGTCTTACAGTGGGTCAAATTAGCTAAGCTATTAACAAAACTTTCCAACTTCTATCGACAGTGGGCCGCATCTGCTAAGCTATGAGCAAAACTAACAGCAGCTGCTGTAAGACAACAAAATTGATCCATGGCTTGGCTTTTTAACAGCTTTCTGTTTCTTGGTCGTAAAGCGAACTTGGTTTTTAGAAGCGAGCTCCCCTTCGGTCACGCCCCTGACTCGGTGCCGAACTGTTGCAATGGCCGTTTGTTTTGCTTATTCCCATTTGTTGCTTGCCTCCAGCTGCCCAAATTTATTATAGCAGCGGCAAGGAGCAAAGCAGCGCCAAAAGTTGCAACAACTTTTTTCATAGGCACTTCTTTGTTTTTCTTCTTTCTTCCTCTTCCTCTTCCACTCTCTCTCCCTCTCTCTCTCTCTCGCTTGAACAGTTTTGCATTTGTCGTTTGTATTTTGGCCTTTTGTCACAAAGCTTTAACACATAAAAATGTTATTGCCCGATATGTAGTTGTAGCTTATGCTGATTTGTGTTGACCTACAATTGCTGCACAGGCAAGAATAGAATAGAAAAAAACAAACCAGAAAACAAACCGAAAAAAATCACTTGTGAAATGTTGCGACTCTAAGGCTGATTTAGGAGCAGTCCGTATCTCAGACTATGCAAATTCTAAACATCCGAATCAACTTTGTGTTTCTCTTGTTGATTTTTTTTTATGTTTCCAACTGCCTCCCAATAATTGTTAATTCCTTTAGGGACGATTCCTAAAGTAGCTTAAAATTAACAGCAATCAAAAAGTTTCAGTTTATGTTAATTGCTGTTTTTACAGCTTGTCTAAATGAATTGCTTAAAATATTTTAATTTAATTTAATTTAATTTATAAAAGATTAAATTTGTTTTGAATATAGATTTTAATTTTAGCATGTAGCTATTATTCTATTATTTAATATGTTTGTATTCATTTTCTAAGCTTCCATATTTTATATTCTATATTACGTAAATGAACAACAAAAGGAAAGATTTTTGTTGCTGCGAAAAGCTATTCATTTTTTTCATTAAAAATCATAATAGAGATTCCATGAAAACAGGAAACGTAATCCTTAGACACATTCAGTGTGAAATTTAATCAGTTTGCTGTTATTCTCGCAACAAAATTAGGTAAAAATTTTA